GAGAGAGAGAGAGAGGGACAAACAGATCAACACAAAAAACAACCACCAAGTGAAATCAAGGAGGCAGAAACATAGGAGATAAAGAGAGAAGGAGAGACATATTGACAGAGATGGAAGGGGGGGGAAAAAAAAAGGAAAAAGATGAAGAAAGACGACGACAAAGCAAGCCCATGGGGAAAAAAAACTTTAAAAAAGCAAAAAACTACCAAGATAAAGATTAAGAAATACAATGAGAAAGCAAGCCATGCAAAGAAAGAAAGAAAAAGAAAAAAAAACGAAAACAGAATTTGAAAAACACAAAGACAAAGATAACAGTTTGAGGACGTCAAGACCACGACAGAGACACAGGCCATTCTCCCACTAGTACTTTGTGAACTGCATCTGGCCATAATCAGGGTAAGATACCTCAAGTCCAGTTCCCAGCAAATGTCCGCGGACACAAAACGTACGGAAAACATTGCACAAAAAAACAAAACGCCTGTGAAGACCACGAACAAGATCGCCGCAACACCAGAACCGATGGCGAGCACACAGATGAAAACAAGACAAAAAAAAATTGTTTTCTGGCGACCGAGATTTGCCGCAAGGGTGTGCAGCGGGAGCACGCATAATGCCGCAGAAGACGACACCCCGATGACGGCAAGAACCCGAACAATGACATGCATGAGACACCTCCAGCAAAGCACCTGCGCTCTCTACAAAGAACCCAAATCTCTCTATAAAAACCTACGCTCACTATAAACCTACCGCCTCGCCAGTCCGTTCAAAACCGAGTAGAGGTGGCTGACACGTCCTGACATCGCTTTCAGCTGTCTGAAACGGGGTGCCCCCACTGGCACCGCCAGCATCAAGCAAAATTTATCGGACTTCCCGCAGGCGTCGCCTTCAACCTCTCAATCAACTCCAGCTGCGACCATGAGAGATCAGTTCACAGAAAAAAATGAACAAATACAAAGTTAAAATAATAATAATAATATTAAAAAAATTAAAAAAAAAAATCATAGCAAAAATAAGAAGTTACCTGTGTCACCAACCGCGCTGCAAAGGGTCACCTTGGGTGACCGGACGGCCTGGCCGGGCAAGCGCCAGGGAAGGTCCCTATATATTCAAAAAAATCGGGGAAAAAAAAAAAAAAAAAGGTTGTGCAGAAAAATATAAACAGAACAAGTTTTACTTCAGGGTCACATCGACATGCTTAGCAAAATTTTCAAAAAAAAACTGATTCTTTTTTTTCTTCATTTTTTTTCATTTTTGCCACTCCCAAGCAAGCGCTTCCGGACCACTCTGGTAACGTAGGAAATTACAAAAAAAAAAAAAAAAAAAA